TTAGCCTTTGCTAAATTGTTCAATGATGAGCTTACTCTGGATAACATAAGCAGGTCAGTCTTTTGTTAGAGAAGACTTTTAGTTTCTGATGAATACACGATATCATTTTGAGTTGATCCAAGAAAGGTCTCACTAAATGCAGACCTCGGTTGGTGAACATGTGCAAATACATGGGTATCAAACCTTTTGGTACAGATGCATATCTCCGTCACATGCTCCGCATGAGACTGCAAAAGTAAGTTGAAGTGCATATTTTGAATTTTGAATGGTTATATCTTAATGCTTTAGCAGAGACAGTTGCTCCTATGAAGTAAATCTTTTAGAATGCTTTCATTTTAATGGACTTTAACAAGTATATGGTCAAGTTAGTTGCCAAGGATTCTGGATGTCCCACAACACAAGAAAAGTTTTTTTAAGGGTTAATTTGTTAGCAGCAGCGATTTCATCCAAGAACAGTAACAATATACCCCTTAAGAAATGGTAATTATTGTCAATTGCTGCTTGAAGTTCTGTTTGTTGCACCTTTGTCTTTTAGTTGCATCTTTGAACTCTTTGAGGGGCTTAAAGGATGATGTTAGATGGCGTAAAAGATACTCTTTTGATATTGTAGGATGTAAGCCATAGCATGTTATGTCATAAAACATGTCGCCCACTTTAGAACCATCAAAATCTCTATTTCCTGAAAGATCATGTTATGACATGTTATGTCATAAAACATGTCATAATTTTGTTGGTTTGTTTTCTGGCTTTCTTGTCAAATAGATCCCATGCCATTTGCCAAAGTGTTACGTCTCCGTGAGTGTTCTGGAAGACCATTTCATATGGTTGACTTGAATGTTACAAGAAGTGGGGAATTATTTAAGGAAGAATTCTATGTTTGGACTACAAATATTGTAAATCATCCATATACCTTCGTCTTGAAAGACTTTATGCCAACATATCTTTTGGAGTTAAAACCAAGGTTTACTTAAATTGAAGAAGTTTATTGGTTAAAAGTTCTGGGTCATTTGTTTCCTACTCACTTCATGTTCCTTATCCACCAAATTTGGTGCGTTGTGTGTAGGGCCTTGGTCAAAGTATTGATTAAAGAGTTTGGGCAGATAGTCCAGAACAAATGTACTCCACATAATTTTCTTGGGTTTGTCAATGTTGTACATTCTTTTAATATGTTTTGAGGTATTAAGAAATTGTTGACTATGTCAGTATATTTTTCTCCTCCTCCCAATGTAATATGTGTGCTAATTTCTCCTGAATTTTATAAATCTACAGGACATATTAGAATCTAAAAAATAAAGTTCTGCTTGTCTCTGTTGGTTGAATTATTCTTCCATGCAGATAATCAAGATATGAACACTGCTTAGTCGTCTTTGGTTTGACCAATTCAACATGCTAACCAACTTTGGCCTTTTGTTATTCCTTGTTGGTTTTTGATTTTGTTAAGCCTATTGCTGGTTTTCATCTTCCATTTACAAGTTTCTAATGGCAATATTGTTCTATTTACTCTCAAAGTTTTTGTCTATTTAGCCATTTTTTCTGTAATACTTAGGTGACAAGCCAATGTAGAGTCAGAACACAATGCTCATAGAAAAGGACATAATTGCAAAGTTATCTTATTGTATCTTATTTTATCATGAAGTGGAGGAGAGTTTTCTTTGTCATTTTGGAGAACATTCTAATGCCTTATTTCTCTATAGTGAAATCTTGAAAAGCAGAAAAAGCAAATACAAGAGGTTCATGAAAACACAGAATTTCACGAACAGGATTTCATTGTTTTGGTAGGATTAAGGAGGATGATAAGATGATTAAAGCTGAGGGTGTGGAGTCTCTCTCTGAGGAAGAACTCCGCCAAGCATGTCGAGATCGGGGGATGCTCGGATTGGTCTCAGCAGATGAATTGCGTCAATCGGTCAGTTTTTTTCCCTTCTTCTTTTTAGAATTTTGTTTTATCTCAAATGAACAACAATTAAGTTTTGTTGTTGCAAGAGTTGATCAATAGTATTCCACACTCATTGGCTTTGAAAGTGTTTTAACCATTTGGCGTTCCTGCAAGCTGTTTGGTTGGATTTCTATAGGGATGCCCCAAAGGATCACATCTTGTAACTAGAATTACAGTTTGAACAAGGAGTTGGAAGTCACAAAAGTTACCATATGGTATATACGGATTATTGTTCTTAGAAGATTTTTGTTGCATGTAAGTGAGCCAGTTAAAAGGTCAAAAGCATTTAGTCTTGGTCGGCTAAATCTCTTGGTAATGATGGATACATCCAAACTCTATCTATGGGCACACATAGCTGCAGAGTTCCTTTTAACAGTTGGCTAAGCTTCTGACTCATTGACGTAAAATGTCCTGGTTAGTATGTGATATCAGAAATACTGTTAATGCAAGACTTAGAAACTGGTATGGAAGGAGGTTCTGGTGGGTGGTGGAGCGTGGATGTCAATGCTCTATTAGGTTATTAGATCTTTGGTGGCATTGTCTCTAGCACTCCGTCTTGTTGCGTAACAAAATCTGAGTACTGAGGACGACAATACTTGCCAAGTTTTACTCTAGAATTGGCACTTTGATGTATTGGTTGTACACCATTTATATGCATATACATTTACAAGACACTGCTATTCATTATACTAATCTGAAGGGAGAAAAGTTGAAACACTAGAGATTTATTTTTGGATTCCAGTAGCAAAAGTTGCTATGGTACCAGCTGAAAGTTGAAATTTGCGGAATTCAAATTCTGTAATTGGATATAACGTTTGATTCAATGCATCTATCCAGGCACACAAATTCATTTGTATTTCTACTTGCCTGCAATCCCTCTGCAACATTAATTTGTGATAGGTTTGCTTGTTCTCAAACAATGCAAAGATTTTTCTTTTGTTAGTTAAATGATCAGCTGTTAATATGAATCTCTTGTTGCTCATGATCAGTGTTGTTATTCTGCCTTAAACTGTATAACTTCTTCAAGTTTATTTTCTCACTATGTTTTCGTTGCCTCTGGAAATTGGTTTGAGCTGCTTTTAGAACTCATTGGGTCATGAACACGCATCTTTGATATCAGTTGGAGGAAGAAGAAGATAATAAAAGGAATGTGACTTTTATGCAATGAATTTGCGCTTCCTGGTTTTGATCATACTTCTATCTAGTAGAGCTTCCAACATTGCACTTCTAGCTATATCCATGAATGATGATTCACTTTCTGTGTTTTGAAATTTTTATGGTGAGATAGTGAAGATGTAACGAGAAATTTACTTTTATCATCTGCAGCTACGGGATTGGCTGGACTTATCTCTCAATCATTCTGTTCCATCTTCATTGTTAATTCTTTCTAGGTAATTTAACTTTGAAATGTGCATTTATAAATATTTGTTTTTTGTGTGTGTGAGTTTTTCAGTTTTGGACGTCAGCAATGCACTCCTTTTTCTGTTTTGTTACTCTTTGCAGAGCCTTTTTGGTGGCCGGCAAAGTGAAGCCAGAGGAAGCTGTTCAAGCAACGCTCTCATCTTTGCCAGATGAGCTGGTGGATACTGTTCAAGTTACATCTTTGCCCTCTGAAGATTCTGCTGCAGAAAGGAGGAGAAAACTGGAGTTCCTGGAAATGCAAGAAGAACTAATCAAGGTTGTTCAGTCGCATATATCTTGGCATTTTTTGAGAGCTATAGTGGTATTTAACTATATGAATATACAAAGGAGAATTAGAAATTTTTGTAAGTTGGAGCAATATCTACTTGTGTAGCCATTCATAGATGGTCATAAAAATTATGTTGAATTAGCATTCAAAGTTTGTTTAAACCTACAGAGCATGCTTAGAAGGTTGTTCTTGGATGATATAGACTTCTGTCTAGTGGGCCTGTAGACTAGGAGGTTTCTCTAATTACTTGTAATGTTCTCCCACCACTCAGAGACATTATCCCAAATCTAGCTTTAGATTGCATTTGAACTCTAATAGGCCTCAGTAATTCATACATAGATCTCCACGATGCTCTTATCAGTTTTTATGGGGGCACAACTGAAGATACTTCTTCAGCTTCAGACCTTATAGTTTGTTGGTTGTAAACGTATACTTCTTGTTTGCTATTTCTTCTGCTTGACAAGTTTCCTTTTGGCCTTTGCCTTTCTTCCTATAAACAATAGGTTCTTTTAGGCCATTATCTTCTATGTTATTCATTTTAAAGTAGTAAATGAACAGGAGGAAGAGCAGAAAGAGGAAAAAGAGCATGCGAGGATTAAGGAGTCGATTGAAAAGCAGAAGGATGTGGCTTTGGAAGAGATGACGTCTCCAACAATGAAAGAAGCTCAACAGATGAAAGCAGCGATTTTGGATAAACAAGAGCAGCTTTGTGAAATCAGTAAAGCATTGGCTGTTTTAGCATCAGCTTCTGTAAGGACCCAATCTGCTGTTTCTAGGTAGCTTCTTTGTCCAATTAAGATTTTTACTTGCTTTATTTTTTTTGTTCTCTTCCAGTCCGTGAGCAAGGAACGTGAAGAATTCCTGAGACTTGTTAACAAGGAGGTACTCTAAGACTATTTCTGCATACAGTTGCAATCTTAGAGGTGATAATCTTCTTTTTGTGCTGACAGTTTTCTTTTGCAGATAGAGTTGTATAATAGCATGGTGGAGAAAGAAGGTACAGATGGTGCAGAAGAAGCAAAGAAGGCATACAGAGCAGCTAGGGAAGACAGCAACCAAGCTGTAGAGAGGGCTTTAGGTGACAAAGTTTATTCAGCACTCAGAGACAGGGTAAAGATGGTTTATGATTTTAATTCCCACAGACTTTCAGTATTTTCCTTGATTTCTTTGCTAAAGGTGGCTACATACCTTTTGGTTGAAGCATTTTCTGTGTTTAGACAATCAACTTTTTTGTTGGCTTCCCAATTTCAGGTTGATGCTATGCTTCAAAAGCTTGAAAAAGAAATTGATGTTGTGGATGCCACAATCGGTGATCGTTGGCGTTTGCTCGATAGGTATGGTAACAGGCTATAATTCGTGTCTAAAATCTTTTGCATGATTAAGCTTTGTTCTGGTGCATATATGAATCTATTTGTGCAACTTATTTAGAGCCGCACAAGTGACACAAGTAATAGTAGCCATCTACCTGTCCAAATTGACTGGACAAATTGGTATTGTCTTGGTAAGTGTACAGCCTTCCAATCGGGCTTTTCCCAAAATCAATTTCTGAATTTGCCTTCGACCAAGTTTCCGGCAGATTCGAGCTCCACGTGACCGATTCTCCTTGCGACGCCAAATTCGAGACCCAAGTCAGGTACGAGTGGAACGTGTCCGGGACCATTTCATACGGCCAAATTCAGGAAATTTCCGGCCTTTCTGCGCAGGAGCTTTTTCTTTGGTTGCCTGTAAAGGGTATTCTGGTGGATATCCCTAGTTCTGGGTTGATTTATTTTGATGTGGGTGTCGTTTCGAAGCAGTTCTCTTTGTCATTTTTCGAGACACCCCGCGAGTGCTCTGCCGCAACTGCGGAGGAGGGTGGTGGTAATCGTCGTAATGAATTGTCCCAACCGATTGATCTTTCGTTTATGAAGGGTCGTGGCCGCATTATCCAGGTGAAGTGTAAAAGCGATTATTTTTAAATGAAGTTTTTTTCCATATATATTCGGATTTTTTCAAAGAAACATTTATTGCAAAGAATTGTTTGGTGCATATATGTCGGGGAATTATATGTGCGGATTCAGATTAATCACATACATGTTATGGATCCACAAATGCGGTTTGATGTTATCTGTTTTAACACTGATATTGTAAATTATTTGCCAGCACAGATGCATGATACGTGTACAAAAAGAAGATTACAAAATTTGAATGGAGGTTGTGCTATGAATGGTGAATCTAAGCCGGGAAAATTCTTTGCACTATCTATGTAGGAAACATTGGTGCATCGAAATATGTCTAGAATTTTGAAACGTTAGAAATGTTTGAGGGAAGAATTGATAATTGTCTCGTACATCATTGAGCTTCCATGTTCCCTTAATTCTGTGCATATAGATGCACCAGTTGGCGTTTGATATAATAGAGATTTTATGTGGCATTGCTGTTTCAGGGTTCAATTGAGAATTTTGACTTACATTATCACTTGATTGGTGACTACACGCTCATGAACATGTCCATAGGCACTTTAATGCTTAGATGTATGTTTCATTAAAAAAAAAGGTGCTTTTTTTTGTCAAAAAAGGAAAAAAAAAAGCATAGGATTCATGATTTTGTTTCTCATTCAATTGCATGACCTGTGAGTATGTTTCTGCTTTACATGCTTAATGTTTGACTTTATTTGATAATCTCTTAAGATGTATCTTTTTAAGTGAACAATCAACCTTAATTTACTGAACTTGATAGCTTTTTTATTCCGATAATAATGACATTGATATAGTAGTGTTGATGAATTTGATGAATTCATGATTTGTAAAATGAATGAGTTGATTTAGTTTTGTCAATGGATTATGGTGATTTAAATTCTTTATTATTGATTTTGTATGCTGTTCGAAGTATTGATTTACATTATGAATTTACCTACATTATTATGCATACTCTGTTGGATTAATCAATTTGAGAAATAAGTGGCAGTAATTGAGAGTTCTGTTTCTATAGTTGAAGACTGGTACTTTTGTTAAACTTTTGTGCTTTTTCTTCTATCTCCTTGAGCAACAACTATTTTTTGGCTGAAACCAGTGTTTCTATTTCATTGCAGAAATCATTCGAAAGGTCTTCCAAAGAACATCACGAGGGACATGAATTGAAAGCTGTTTCATAGATGGTGAATAAGAACATTTTGTAACAGGAGTTTTAGTGTTTGACTTGAAACCAGCTCTTAAGAAGTTTGTTTTGGCAATTGGCCTCATGTGTGGGATTGCTTTACAGGCTTGTCTGTCCATGCTGCTGACATATACAGAGCAAAGTTTGTGATTTCCTTGAAGAGGAGAGGAGCAGGTGGTAGTTACCTGCCGAAGATAATTTGAGGAGGAGACTGTGGAGTTGGCTTGGTGAATCAACTTATCTTTTTTTTTTTTTTTTTTTTTGGGTGGCGAAAAGTAATGCGATTGTATCGCTGTACTGAGTCTCTGTAAATGACCAAATTTGATTTGGAGTTTGTATATTAGCTTGAAGTGAAATATAGTAGTGTTTTCAGTGAAACCAAAGCATTAATTCATCTTCTTTTTATTTTATCTTACGATTTTGTTTCTCGAAACACAAGCTACATGATTCCCATTTTATCAAGAGGGTATAACTCCGATTTCAAGCACTTGAATTTATGACGTCCTTCCTGGCAAGGCTCAGCTGCATTTGAGATTTTTAGTTCTGCTACACCTTCCCCTCCGCTCCTTAGAAGAATTCAGGGTTTTGAGTTAGAACCCATTTGGTTAATTACAATTTATCCTCGTAACATATACCTTTTAGTTTTCAGTTTATTCCCCCCTAATCTGTGTTTTTTTGGTCGCTTAACTCTCTTCAAGACAAAACTAAAATTTTTTTTTTTAACTTAACCCTCTATCATGCTGACTTTTTTCTATTCTCTCTCTCTCGCTCTCTCCAAAGTAGTTTTCTTTTTTTGAATTTTTATTTAGAGCAAAATAATAGAGTGCAAGATAATGTTCGAGAACACAGAATGTTGAAAGATTTGACTATGAGCTGAATGCGGATGACTTGATAGCATTAGGGATTGAGGTAAATTCAATGCTGCAATCTGGGAATCATTATGTGGTTAATGCAAATAATAATAATCTGGTTGTTGCGAATGAAAATAATCTCTCATCACAGAAGTTCAGGGGGATGCAGAACATGTTAGAGCTGTGTCTTCTACCAAAATAGATTCTGATGAGCATCAGAAAAGTCGGGGATTTACTTCTTGTAGTCTGTGTATGCTTATTATGTTCATACTACTTGTTGCTTCTTCTTGTGTTAGTTCAGTTTAGTAAAACTGAAAGTGTCCTTGCTTCTTGTTACTCAATCTAGTACACTGAAAGTAGTGTTTTTGAGTTCTACTGTCCTAGCTTCTTCTTTGAGGAAACTGACACCTTTTAAAATTAAAATCAATAAACAATTTACGATGGTTGTTTGTAAGAATAAAAACCAGAGAGTCTGTCTAACAGAGTGCTCACAGGGCACGCGTTAAGATATATTTCAAGTATCTTATATTTGGAAATGTAAGATTAATTAGGAAAAGTGAATAAATACAAGGGAGAATAGGTATGGTTAAATAAGAAATGTAATTAAAAAATTAATGTATTATAAATGTTCAGTTATTTACTAATTTTTAAAAATTTGTTTACATGCTTTCACTATAATATGATAATATACATCAAATCATGTACCCCATATCAAAAAATTGGTAGATATTCTTTTTTTTTATTACAAATATTCTTTTAGATAATTTAAATTTTTATAATGGCCATAAATCTAGAACTAGATATTCATATTTAATTAAGTAGAAAAACATCTAGCAATTCATTTTTCTTCATCGATAAATATTTAGTTTCCAACAATATTGATAAATCTGTCGGTGTAACAATTAATTCTCTTTTGTACACTAAGTTAATTCAAAATTCAGGGAAGAAATGACGAACAATTTGAATACTAATAAATGGTATGATGGTGAAAGGAAGCAATTTGGGATATGTAAGATTTCAATAATTGTGATTAAAAAAGTAATTTGGAATATGTAAGATTTTAATAATTGCTATTTGAAAATGATTTTACTATAGTTCTATATGTAATAATTTGATAGAAAGCAAAGATTAGTTGTTTTTTTTAAAAGCAATATCATTAAGAGATAATTAGAGATAATTTTTAAGCATATAATATAATCTAAATAGGATTTAATATGGGTAAAACCTAAGTGATCCACAATCCATTAATTCTCTTCAATTAGGCATGTCACATAGGAGTGAGAAACAACTTTGATTAAAATAACTACTTTTATATATATATATATATATAGATTGTGGGCATGTGCTAAACTTTTGAAGGGCCTCCCCAAAAGTATATGAATCATAGGCCCAACTCTCTAGCCCCAACCGGTTTTTGGGTTAATTACATTTATCTTGTCTTCCTTGAGGTTTATCCAAACTACAAATCAAACCTTTAGATTTGATCAATTAACATAACCACCCTTAAACTCTCGAAAGTCATAATTCAAGACCCCTAAGGTTGTCAACAAATTTGATCACTTCAATTTCCAAAATACCAATTATCTCTGACCATTCTACTACTTTCCTTCCTTCCTTCTCCAAGCAAAACCGTAGGCATTAATCTAATATCATCGGTGGTTTTATTTTAGGTGATTTTATCCACATTCAACCCCAATTTACTTCATCAACCCTATACTAATCTTTTGGAGTCTATTGTAGTTTAAGAAAATTATCAATAAAAAAATTATCGATAAAATATTTCAAGTCTCCATACAACTTATGAAAACATACTCCTTCGAATCATAAAATAGACTTATAGTTTTGAATTCCAACCAAAAATGAAAACAAGGAAAGATACAATAATTATATTAACAAATAAAACAACCTATTTCTTGTTATTGACACACCACCAAAACTAAATTGTGAGCACCAAAGTTACTAATCCAGTTATGATATGTCGAATCCTTAGAATTTCAATAATTAAAGCTTGAATATGTGCCTCTTTTTTTATGGTTTTAATAAGGTATGACTTGCTATATTTTTTTCTCATGAAATTGGTTTAACTTGTGATTCTATTAGAAGAGTAGGTGTTACGAGAAAAATAAAATAACATTGAATGTGGTGAAACAAATATAGGTTTGAGGGAAAAAAAATAAAGAGAGTATGATCTTTTCTCATCTGCATGTAGATTGAAAAATGATAATATATGGCAAGAGTTTGAAATAAATGGTTCTTTTGACATTTTCTTCCTTCTGTTTGTGGGTTTTGGATGATATCACTGACTAGGGGTTTGATATTACTTGTTCAAATTTCAAGATTTATTTCATAGTTTGTTTAAACCATAGGGGGTAAATGTAGTTAACTCTTTTTTTTTTTTTTTTTAAATGTGGCCCACAGAAGAAGTCCAAAATTCTACAAGAAAAACCAAAAAATGCCTAAACAAATAAGGGTTAATTTCCACTATGCACCCTTTAACCATATCCAAACATTTTGGTATCTAAACTTTAAAATGAAATACTTTAATATCTAAATTATAAAATTTGTTCTACTTTAATTCCTAAAATATATAACTTATTCCACTTTAATCCTTAAAATATAACTTTATTTCTATTTTAGTCCTTAAAGTGTAGTCACTTAAGTCTAAAATCTGTTCCCCTTCCTCGATGATTTTAATTAAATGGGATAAAATTTACAATTTAAGAAATAAAGTATCTCATTTTAAAGTTTAACGATCAAATTGAAAAATTTGGTATAGTTAAATGGTGCAACGTGGGATTACCCTACAAATAAACCAGGAAGTAGAAAATAAATAAGAGGAAAATACTATAAAAAAAAAAATTCCAATTCTCCATCTATCTTGCACCCCTCCCGGAGATCACAGACCACAAAAGGAAGACAGTCACAGAAACAACAAAACCCCTCAGCTCCCAAGAAAAGGAAAGGAAGGAAAAGAAAAGAAAATGTTACTACTGGAAAAATCAAATGTTCACACCGCAATTCTTTGTTTGCTATGAGTGACCACGAATTGTAGAAAATTTCACGCCTTCTCCGTCCCATTTTTTCTTCGCAAATTGCAATAAAGCCACTGTAGTTTGATATCCAGTAGAAGTTGTCTGTGTAGCAGATTGTAGTATCAGAATAGAGAGAGAAGCAGAGGAGTAGAGATGGCGACGGCAATTAGAACAGGGATAACAACCCCGAGTGGGATGAGCATCAGCATGGCTGCTTCGCCAGCACCTTCTGCTTCTTCTTGCAACCGGGTGGTGGCTTTTTTCAAGCCTCCGCCGTCTAGAAGTTCTTTTTTCGGTCATGGAGGTAAAAGGAGAAAGCTTTCTTCGTTCTTCTGCCGTCCCAGTTTCATTTTCTTTCTTGATATATGAAAACCCCTGCCCCTTTTCAAATTTGTGTAGCTTTTTTCTAGTATTTTTCTGAAAATGGGATTTTGATACTTTTAGTTAAAAAATTTGTTATTCCAATAGTTTCAGCATCAGTTGTTCTGCATTTGATGTTAGGTGTTTTGGTTGATTCCCAGTTGTAATCTTCGATTGGGTATTAGTTTTTGTGTTTCCAGTTCTATTGAACTTTTTATTTTGGTTATTAATTTTCGCAATATTATCTGAATGAAGCAGCGGCCCCCACCCCCCCCCCCCCCCCCAAAAAAAAAAAAAAAAAAAACCTTATCAGCATTGTAGATTGGAGGTACAAACTTAGTCTTGTATGATGTGTTAAGTTGATGAAGATAGAGTTTGCATGGTGTGTATATCCAAATTTTTGGACTTTTTATGAATTTTGCATTTTGCATAGTGTGTATATCCAAATATTGAACTTTTTATTTTGGTTATTAATTTTCGCAATATTATCTGATTGAAGACTCCCCTCCCCTCCCCCCCCAACCCCTATCAGCATTGTAGATTGGAGGTACAAACTTAGTCTTGTATGATGTGTTAAGGTGATGAAGATAGAATTTGCATAGTGTGTATATCCAAATTTTTGGACGCTAATTTCGTACTTTTTTTTTTGTGCAATTGGTATTCTTGCTTTTATATTTATATAATTTGGTCCTAAGTCAAAAGATAATCTCCTACCCAAAATCCAGATGTTTGCAAGAGATTCTGACTTCAGTACAGAAATGACAATTTGTATGTAAGACTTGCCTGGAGATGTATCAAGTCCACCCTGGTTTTAAGTTCTGAATACTTGGGCAGTGAATGAGTATAAATGCCCAAATTAAGATAGACTTGCAGAAAGTCTCTCCATGAAGTTAGATTTAGCTGATGAAAAATGTAGTATTGAAGAAATGAAGTAGGTGTAAGCTATCGGTTGCATTCAACTAAAAAATGCAAACAAGGAACCTTGCAGTTTGTAAAGTATTTTATGCATCATTTTAGGCATTGTAGGTCCATATTTTTTCCACTTTCTCTTTTATTCTTTAAAACTATTTCCTTTTTGTTTCTCTAGAGATATTTTATCCTTTCTTCTGATAAAAAATGCATTCCCTAATTTGCAGTGGGAACTACAAGAT